TCTTTTATCTTTTGGTCTATATAAGACAGACTCTGTTAGGCAGCCAACACATCAAAAGGCTTTGTATTCCCTCCTCTTTTCCTGCTGTTTAAGAAAAATATTAAAGGCAAATATGAAAGGGCAAAACTCACCATTTGAGCTTCTGTGTAATTATGGATTATTCCGTTTTCATGTTCTAAAAATAGTGGGTCAATAAAACTCCTGAATACAAAAAAAAAAAAAGGGCAAAAGACTTAGATTACTTCACCATAGAAAAATGGCCAGTAAACACATGAAAAGGCATCCAGTTCATTAGTGAAAACTATTAGTTATTAGTGAAAAACTATCATTAGAATACCTAAAAAAAAATCTGGATGAAGATACCAAATTTGGTGAGGATGCGGGACAACTGAAACTCTCAAACTTTGTAAAATGATGTAATCATTTTGGAAAAACAGTTTTCAAAAAACATGTAAGACTAGATGAACCAGCATTCCACGCCTAAGAATCTATCCACGAAAAATGAAACATATTGTCAAAAGATATGTATACAAATAGAGTAGCATCGCACATAATCATCCCCAAATGGAAACAGTCATCAGCGGATGAATAAACAAATTGTTCCCTGCCCAGTGGACAGCATGTTATTCAGCACAGCAAGACATGAAGCACTGATATGACCCAGGGATGCTCCTCAGAAACCTCATGCTCCGTGAAAAAGGCAGACACAGTGCATGCCTCGTGTGTGAGCGTCCAGAAGCTGGACTGCGGTGAGGGCTGCACAACTCCACACTTTTCCTAGAAGTCACTGTTACAGTGGGTAAGCTAAATGCTCTGGAAGTCCCACATCAATAAAGCTGTCTCAGCAGAAGAATTGTAGGGGAAAGGCAGCACATTTCTTCATACCTTATTGTCCCAACATGCTTTTAGAAAATTTCAGTCTCAACAAATAGCAAGTGAAATTGAGAAGGGGAAAAAAGGTACACATAGTATCAAAAGAAGACCCTGTAGGAAAAACATTCGAAAAAGACATGCAGGATCACAACGGAAATCTTCAAAAACACTCCTGAGAGAAATTAAAGATGAGCTAAATAAGAGGAGGAAATACAGCATGTCCTTGGGACTGGAAGACTCAGAGCTGTGAAGGCATCAACTCTCCACAAACCACAGCACAAGTCGGAATTCAGCAGGCTTTTGGTTTTGTTTTAGAAACTTGATTTTGTTGTTGTTGTTGTTGTTATTGTTGACACAGAGTCTCACTCAGTTGCCCTGGGGTTGAGTGCATGGCATCACAGCTCACAGCAACCTCAAACTGGGACTACAGGTGCCCACCACAATGACTGACCTTTTTTTTTTTTCATATTTGCAAGTTATTTATTTTTTTATTAATTTTTCTTACTTATACATGTGTATATTAGGTTTTCACTTTTGCCTTTACAGAATTAAAAAGGCTAAATGTAATGACAATAACAATATTTAACTAAGGACTGAGAACAAAAGCCTCATAAAGAACGAATGAAGATAAATACATTCAGAAAAGAAATCAGATGATTGCTGCAACAAAATTTAAGCAATAATAATAGTAATAATGCAAAGAAAGTAACATTCGTATTGTCAGATAGAAGTACGTCTATTATAGGATACTTTGATCCGTTAACTTCTTCTTCTTCTTTTGTTTTTTCCAAAGTCTCAAAAAATAGATAACTAATATTTATAAATGAAAGTAACAGATAATTTCAAAAGAACAGATCATGCCAAATCTTATAGCCAATAGAGAAAGAAATACTTCAAAATCATTCTACTAATTGGGATACACCTGATATTAAAACTGGAGAAAAGGGTGGCTCCTGTGGCTCAAGGAGTAGGGTGCTGGCTCCATATGCCGGAAGTGGTGAGTTCAAACCCAGCCTTGGCCAAAAACTGTAAAAAAAAAAAAACTGGAGAAAATATATTATTATAAAGGGGAAATTACAAACATATTTCATATTTTTTTCTTACTTTAAGAGGCAGGGTCTCACTGTTGCTAGGCTTGGACTCCTGAGGTCACACAATCTACCCGTCTTGACCTCCCAGAGTGCTAGGATTACAGGTGTGAGCCACCATGCCTGGCCCTATTTTAGAAAACTCACAAGCTATTACCAAACTTTCTATGAAAATGCAAAAAGAACCAAGAATACTCAAAATATTCTTGAAGGAGGAGCGAGGACATGCTTTACCAGATGTGATATGAGCAGCCTCCATGGCTCTGAGGGCAAGGCAGTAACCCAGGGTAGGCAGGCAGAGGCAGCCCCCCTTACAGTAGGGGCAGCCATTTTACCAAATGGTGCTGTGGCCATTATTTACACAGAGAAAGAATTAAACTTGAAACCAACCACACATTCTCAGCAGATTATAAGCTGGACAGCAGATATCCCATGACAGGTAAAACCAAGAAGTGTCTCCAGGTATTTTAGGAGAATATATTCAAGTCCATGTGCCAGTAGGTCTTGAAACGTAAGTTGAACTGCATAAAAGACTTTTGGCATTTTCCTCATCTTTATTGTTGATATTTGAGGAATCCTGAAGACTGTTTTAAACAAAATTGTGGCAGGGTGCTATGGTTCACTCCTATAATCTCAGAAGTTTGGAAGGCAAGGGAAGGATTGCTTGAGTCCAGGAGTTTGAGGCCAGCCAAAGCATCATCCTGTCTCTAAAAAAAAATGTTTTGTTTTGTTTTGTTTTGTGACAGAGTTTCACTCTGTCCCTCTGAGCAGAGTGCCATAGCATTATAGCTCACAGTAACCTTAAACGCCTGGGCTCAAGTGATTCTCTTGCTTCATCTTCCCTAGTAGGTGGGACTACAAGTGCCTGCCATGAAGCTGGCTAGTTTTTCTACTTTGATTATTATTTTTATTTCAGGTTAATGTGAGGGTATAAACAACTAGGTTTCAATGTTTGCCTTTGTTACGTAAAGTCCCTCTTATAGTTGTGTCTTGCACCCAAGAAGTGTGCTATATACCCTTACATTGTGCCCATTGAGAGCACACCAATCCCCCTCCCCTCCATCTTGCATCGAATTGAGTTTTTCTGTTGTGTGGACATGTATTAGATCGTCTACTGGCTTCATAATAGTATTGAGTATATTGGATACTTGCTTTTCCATTCTTGTGATACTTATACTAAGAAGAATGTGTTTCAACTCCATCCAGGTTAATACAAAAGATGTAAAGCCTTCATCTTTTTTTATGGTGGAATAATAGTCCATGGTATACATATACCACAGTTTGTTAATCCATTCCTGGGCTAGTAGACATTTAGGTTGTTTCCACATATTGGCTAGTCTTTTTATTTTTAGAGAGATGGGGGGGTCTCACTCCTGCTCATGCTGGTCTTGAACTTGTGAACTCAAGCAATCCTCCTCCCTTGGCCTCCCAGAGTGCTAAGACTGATTACAAGCATGAGCAACTGGGTCTGTCCCAAAACATTAAAAGAGAATGAAAATTGGTGGGAAACTTAAACACACATGTGTTGAAATACAAGAACCCAAATGGCCCAGAAACCACTAAAAAATGCTGTCTCACTGGTAATTGAGAACACTGATGCTTGCCATCCGAACTAAATGTGAACAGAAATGTCAGCAAGGATATGGCCTGGCAGAGTAAGGACCCTTTTAGGAAAGTGTAGGCCTCACCTACTGAGAAGACACACCCTAGTCCCAACCAGGCTATTTAGTTTTGCTCCAACAGAACATCTGAGCTACTGGAAGTGGCTCTAAGCGGCAGAGGAGCTGTGGATCCAGCAGCGCCTAAATGGGCTGGACATATCAAAGTAGCAATGATGAGGATGTGCCTATGCTTCACAACATGGCTGTACCCCACTCCTATGCCTCCTGAACCTCACTCCTGCACCTGCCTCAACAACAGTTACGTGAGGATTAAAAATAGGCAGAACTACACTGCTCAGAGAAATACTTAGGTGACAAAACCAGAAAGAGAAACTGGGTAAGTAACCAACCTAGAGTTGAGACAGGCTGCCTATGGGGAGCCACGCTGGTCACTGGGGTGGTGGTGACAGGGTATTCTCTTTGGAACCCAGTGGGCCGGATGTTTATGTGCACATTCCTTAGTGCATTGAAGGATTTAAGAGGTTTAAAAACGTATAACCTAGTTGCCAAAATCTTGTTAAGCCTGCCCTGCCACACAGAGTTTAACCTGTGTTTCAGAGATTCCTGTCCCCCACCCCCAAAGTGAAATGTCAATAATTTTAACACCCCTTCTCCAACACACAGAGGGGCTCCAGCCTCAGCTACAGGGAGGGCCCCAAGCAGGGACCTTTCCCTGGGGCCCTGCTGAGTCTGCACTTTCCCTGTGTAAACTTCCCTGCAGGTCTCTGGGCGTGGACTTTCTCCCTTCAGATCTATAATTTCTCAGAAGAGAAGCTGAGAAATGACCTGGAAATGATCGATTCTCGATAAAGGGAAGGAGAAGCGTGTCCTCAGCACCAGCACGTGGGACCTGTCAACAGGATGCCCCCCCCCACACACAACCTACCTGCTCTGCTCCCATACATGCCTCTTCTGGTTCCTTCCAGTACCTTCTGTGAGCAAACATTCCCACTCCCAGGCAGAGCAAAGGGACTGGTAGGCAAAACCTTTTGATAGCCAGAAGAGGATCTTCCAGGGACGTGGAGGGGACAGGTAGGCAGGATGACAGCCAGGCCCAACCTGCTCAGACCTGAAAGGAGGCAATAATTGGGTAGGGTTTGAGCAGGGCAAGAGGGTCCAGGGACAGGTGGGAGGGGCCAGGACCTTTCTGGCATGAGCAGCTTCTTTACCTGCCTGGCCCAAGGGAGACGACAGATCAGCCCAGGCCCCCCAGCCTCCCCACTTTCTGGGAGGATGGTACTGGGGAAAGCAAACACAGGGCAGCTACGGCCCTGCCAGGTATTCCTAGAAGAGGCTGGGGCTGGGGCAGTGGCCAGACACCAGCTGACCCTGAGGTCACAGAAGGCTGAGGCAGGCCTGGGCCCTGGGCAGCTTCTGGACCCAGAAGCCCAAAAGGGGACCCCACCCAGCCTTTATAAAACTCTAGGGGGAGCAGGAGGGCAGCATGTGGGCACACAGGTGGGCCACAGGGGAACATGGTGGTGCCTGCTGATCCCCCAGTGACTGTGTAGGCTGAAAGCAGACCACCAAGACCCTGCAGCAATCTGAGAAGTCCCTGTTCTGAGTGGGAACAGGTGAAGCCTTAGGTTCCCCAAACCTGCCTCAAGCTCCAGCCCCTGTAAAGCCACTCCCAGGAGCACTCCTATCCCTACTCGGCTACCAGCCTGCCCCAGCCAGCTCTGCAAAGGAATGGGTAGAGGACTGGCCACCCAGACCCTGAAGGTGGCTTTGGGTGTACTCTCCTCAGTAGTGGTACTGGCCACCCGGCACGAGGGGGTTAATGAAGCCAGGGCCAGCTGGGCTGGGCCTGCGGCCACAGGCACTGACTACCCTGCAGTGGGGACGTCCTGAGGGCAGAAGCAGCCGGCACAGCAGACGTGTTCACCCACCGCAGCCTGCAGCCCACTTTGCACGCGCAATGGCCCTGAAGAAAGGTGAGCTTCTCCTGAGCGTTCATGTCACTTGCTCTGGGGGTGGCCAGCCTGTGACCCTGAGCCTGCTGAGGCCAGGGCCAGGGCTGGGGCCGGGGCCAGGGTCAGCCCTTAGAGAAGATCTGCATGGCTTACCTCTAGGGGCCTGGGGGACTCCAGGGGCCTGGGGGGCTCCAGGGGCCTGCAGCTGTAAATATGCTGCTGGGGTGGGAGGGGACATGTCTGGGGCTTGCAGCAGATATCTCCATTTCCTCTCCTACCTTCTCTTCTATCCCTGTGGGCCCAGCAGGTGGGGCAGGCAGGGACAGCGGAGCTTTCAGCCCTGGGAGTGAGGAGGTGCCCCTCACAGCCCAAGCTGTGGGCCTAGTCCAGGCCCATTTTCAGCCAGGCCCACTGTCCTCCAGCTGCTTGGTCTTCTGGTAGGGCCTACCCCACGTGGGTGGGGGATGGCACCTCAAAGCCCCCTCCTCTGTGGGAAGCCCCCCAGAGGCCTGGGCTGGAGCTATAGCGCTGTCCCTCCTTCACAGCCAGGCTGCAGGGGCCCCTGGTGCTGCTCTGCCCCCATCCTAGGGGCCTAAGCTCTCTGGGGCTGGGGTGGCGCTGTATTATGGGGGGCCACTGTCCAGCAGGTAAGGTTTGGGGATGTCACTGGCAAGGCTGCTGCCAGGGTGCAAGTGGGTGGTGATCTAGAGTCTGCCCCAAGATGTGCTGGGGAGCAGGCAGGTGAGTATACCCCAGTATGTGGGCCTGACCAAGGCAGAGGGTGCCTGGCTCACCAGGAGCAACAAGTGGATACCCCATCCAGACCTGCTCCAGAAAATTCCAAAAGGGCCTGAGCTCAGCTGACACCTTAGGTCCTTCCCCTTTCTCCAATAGTATAGCACCCTGGCCTGGCTCAAGTCTCTGTCCCAGGGGATATAGACCGCCAGAGAGTGTAACAGCCATGTGGCCTGGGTGAGGCCAAGCCCTTGGTCTTCTCTGCCACAAGACAGGGACGCAGCCCCATTGGGCCCATGGTGGAAAGTGCAGAGTCAGCATTTGAGCAGAGGACGCAATTACCTGGGTGACTGTGTGTCTCAGTTCCTATGAATGGTGGCCTCCTCTTGCTGTGGGCTTGGGGAAGTTTGGTGTTGCGCTCACTCAGGCAGACCGGGGCCTCAGGGCTCATGTTCTGAACCCTTCTTGGTGCCGCCACCTCAAGCCTATCTCCCCATAGGAGGGCTGGCCCTGGTGGTGCTGCTAGTATACTGGGCAGCACTGGGCCACCAGTGCCCCACAGTCTGCACCTGCAGCTATGACGACTACTCGGATGAGCTCAACGTCTTCTGCAGTGCAAGGAACCTTACACAGCTGCCCAATGGGATTCCTGACAGCACCAGGGCCCTGTGGCTCGATGGCAACAACCTGTCCTTTATCCCCCCGGCGGCCTTCCAGAACCTCTCTAGCCTGGACTTCCTCAACCTGCAGGGCAGCCAGTTGGGCAGCCTGGAGCCACAGGCGCTGCTGGGGCTGCAGAGCCTGTACCACCTGCACCTGGAGCGGAACCAACTTCGCAGCCTGGCGGCCCGCACGTTTACATACACTCCCGGCCTGGCCTCTCTCAGCCTCAACAACAACCTCCTCAGCCGAGTGGAGGAGGGCCTCTTCGAGGGGCTCACCAACCTCTGGGACCTCAACCTCGGCTGGAACAGCCTGGCAGTGCTTCCGGACACTGTGTTCCGGGGCTTGGGCAGCCTCCGAGAGCTGGTACTGGCCGGCAACAGGTTGGCCTACCTGCAGCCAGCACTCTTCTGTGGCCTCAGTGAGCTGCGTGAGCTGGACCTGAGCAGGAACGTGCTTCGAAGTGTCAAGGCCAATGTCTTCGTGCAGCTGCCCAGGCTGCAGAAGCTCTACCTGGCCCGCAACCTCATCACAGCTGTGGCCCCAGGAGCTTTCCTGGGCATGAAGGCGCTACGCTGGCTGGACTTGTCTCACAACCGTGTGGCTGGCCTCCTGGAGGACACATTCCCGGGCCTGCTGGGTCTGCATGTCCTGCGCCTCTCCAACAATGCCATCGCCAGCCTGCGGCCCCGTACCTTCAAGGACCTGCACTTCCTGGAGGAGCTGCAGCTCGGCCACAATCGCATCCGGCATCTGCCTGAGAAGGTGTTTGAGGGGCTGGGCCAGCTGGAGGTGCTGACACTCAACAACAACCAGATCCAAGAGATCAAGGCGGGCGCCTTCCTTGGCCTCTTCAATGTGGCGGTCATGAACCTCTCTGGCAACTGTCTTCAGAACCTTCCAGAACAGGTGTTCCAGGGCCTGGGCAAGCTGCATAGCCTGCACCTGGAGCACAGTTGCCTGGGCCGCGTCCGCCCACACACCTTCACTGGTCTCTCAGGGTTGCGTAGGCTCTTCCTCGGAAACAACCGCATCTCCGATATAGAGGAACAGAGCCTGTGGGACCTGCACGAGCTCCTGGAATTGGACCTCACTTCCAACCAGCTCACACATCTCCCCCGCCGGCTCTTCCAGGGTCTCAGCAAGCTGGAGTTCCTGCTCCTCTCTCGCAACAGACTGGCAGAGCTGCCCCCGGAGGCCCTGGGCCCTTTGCAGCGGGCCTTGTGGTTGGACTTCTCACACAACCACCTAGAGGAGCTGGCCATTGGCCTCTTCTCAACACTGGGGAGGCTGCGCTACCTCAGCCTCAGGAACAACTCCCTGCAGACTTTTGTGCCGCATCCTCCCGGCCTGGAGCGCCTGTGGCTTGAGGGAAACCCCTGGGACTGTAGCTGCCCCCTCAAGATGCTGCGTGATTTTGCCCTGCAGAACCCCAGCGCTGTGCCCCGCTTCATCCAGGTGGTTCCTGAGGGGGACGACTGCCAGCCCACTGTGTACACCTACAATAACATCACCTGTGCCAGTCCCCCTAGTGTTGTGGGACTTGACCTGCGGGATGTCAGTGAAGCCCATTTTGCTCACTGCTGACCTGGGCTCCCTACCTGCCTCACTTTGGCCAGACACTGCCCTGTGCTCAGGACAGGTCCTTACTATCATCCTCAGAATGAGGAGTTGACCTCCAGGGACTTGATAGGCACACAGGCCCACACTGTCCACTTCCTGAAGGATGGTCCAGGGGCTGTGCCAGCATGGGTTGAGGACTTGAGGGCCTGATGGGGTGGGGACAGGGATGGAGGGGGTAGGTAGACACACAGCCTCCCTGCTGTCATCAATTAAAGGAAGGTAATCTAACAAACCAGTGTGTGACCCACAGCATTTGACCTGTGCCCTGCCCCCCATGCCCTCCCCTTGCCCAGATCAACCTGTGCCCCAGTGAACCCTCCTGGTCTTCTAGGTCAGGGGTCCTCCAACTTTTTAAACAGGGGGCCAGTTCACTGACCCTCAGACCTTTGGCGGGCCAGACTGCAGGCCCCAAGACAAGTCAGTTGTTAAGCAGGACAGGCAGGGGTGGCAAAAACACCCAGTGGGCCGGATAAATGTCCTAAGCAAGCCACCTGTGGTCTGCAGGCTGTAGTTTGAGGACGCCTGCCCCCGAATGAGACAGGCACTTCCTCAGGTCCTCTGTGAACCTTAGACCTTCTCTTTCCTTTTTGAAGTGTGGTTCTGAGGACTGGGCAGTGTCCCTGTCCTGGCACTGGGGCACAGTGGAGGTGGTGACCAGTATACATTCTGCAGTTTCCACCCTTCTCTTCCTCAGGGAAATGCCATCTGTAGACCCAGGTGCACCTCCACCAGTCCCACTGGGGTCCAGGCTCTTCCCTTGGCGACAACACCACACCACACACCCATCTGCTTTCCTTTGTAGTCTTAGTAGGAAAAGGGGCACGAACAAGTCCTGGGACTCTCAGCTCACTCTCGAATTCACCTCTTCTGGTCTTAGCTACTCCCCCACCAGGGTCTGCACTCCTCTGTGGAGAGGCAGCTCTATTATGGCTGACACCCATGTACAGCTTCCTCTGGTATCTTATGGCCTCCCCCAACTCCCACCACACAAGAAGCAAACGCATCCTCACCTGGGTCTCCAGGGGCTTTTCAATAGCATTTATGGAAGTGACTACTGAGGACAGAAGGTTCTAAAAACATCTGACTTGGCTCAGCGCCTGTGGCTCAAGCGGCTAAGGCGCCAGCCACATACACCTACGGTGGCGGGTTTGAATCCCCAGCCCGGGCCCGCCAAACAACAATGA